CCCTTCCTTCACAAGCTTTGCACTTTCCATCACCACAAATAGAACATGAACATTATTTTCTCTGTTACCTTTGTGTGTGAGAGACAGACGTAAATTTCATTGTCATCCTAAATACCTATCTTCTAAACACATTGATTTTACATATAGACTATATAACCAAAATATCAAATTTCATCATTGAGGCTCCATGCGTTTCTTTTCCCAAATATGTGGTTGAATTGCAACGCGGACGAAGCAAATGGAAGAAATCAAGAAATCATTATTTACGTGAGTAAAAGAAAGCCTCAACATGAATTTGATATGCACTCCTCAACCTAACGAGCTTGTGCAACAAAAATTCTATTTTGAACTCTTTCAGTACAACCATTGCAAAAGTGCTTCCGCGTACAAACAAGTTAAGATTTAAAGTTGCCATAACCGCAACGTTGAATTTTATTTTCAAATCTTGGATTGTCAAAAAGCAAAATCAAGATTTACCCAAATTTTGATTGCTTATAATAAGATTAAAAGATCAAAAATTTTGAACAATCATACATAAACCCACATATTCATGTACACTAAATGCATATATAACTATAATTCATGAAACTAACCGATAAATAATCTTTAGGTCTAAATACAGGAGGAACAACAGCTGATGAAGACTTACATTCAGACTTATCAGTCGTAGCCCCCATCAACCTCTTTGACCTCAGACCCAGCTTCCGTCATATTGGACCCATCAGAGGAGTCGGAGATGATGAACTGGCTATAAAAATACAAGCTTTTTTGCAGTAGTTCCTCGGAGAGAGTTCAGGACCCGAAGAATTGGAGAGGCAGTCTCGACGGTAGGCCCGAGTCGGAGTTGTACCCCAAACGACGACATACTGGCGTAGAACAAGCATGTGGAGATGAGGACCTTCAACATGCTAGCAAATGTCCGGGGGGGGCGGGGAGGGGGGGTCCTGGATTGTAGGGTTCGTTTTTAAATTAGAGGAAGGAGTGAATCGCCATTAATGGAAGATAAAGAGCAACCTCTCCGCGCTGCATCTCCCCGCAGCGTGGAAAGAAGAAGAAGGACCAGAAACGCCTTCATTATCGGCTCTTGGAGGAAGAGGTAAAGTGATATTAACAGAGAAAGGGAAACGGAAGGGAAAGTCAACAAATTTTAGCTTTTCAAGGAGTAAATGTTTGAACACTCACTGAACTTTAACATGGTAGCGACTTACTCACTGAACTTTAAATTGCCTCTAAATGGTCACTGAACTCGATTCCAATTGCACCCCTCTCCCTTATAGTGAGTAAATTGTTTGAACAGTCACTGAACTTTAACTTAGTCACGACTTACTCACTGAACTTCAAATCGCTTCTAAATGATCATTGAACTCGATTTCAATTGCCCACCCCATGCCCTCTGAGTGTTGGATGTGGTGCAATTAATGAAAGTTCAGTGATAATTTAGAGACAATTTGAAATTCAGTGAGTAAGTCGTGACCATGTTAAAATTCAATGACTGTTCAAACAACTTACTCGCTTTTCAAGAGACATTATAAGGAGTGCCTCTCCGCACAGTGCGGTGTTTTTTTTTTCCAATAATCTACCATAAATCCAGAGCAAAACAAAATCATTTTTATCTTATATATTTTAAAAGTATACAATACATTTAAAAATAATATTAATCAAATTTACAAACACTTATTTTTAACACTAATCAAGTAAACGGTGGATTGTGGAAAAAAAAAAAAGCTTCACAATGAATAGTAAACGATAGATTGCCGAAGAAGCAATAGGAGATTCAAAGTCAACAAATGTGGATATGGATAAAAAGAAGTCCATATTACCCTCAAAGCTTGAATGAATATGGATAAAATGAGATTAAAAAAAGGCTTTACAAATGAACAGTTAACGGTAGATGGTCTTTTAAGATAAAATAGAGATTATTTGCGAATGTCCAAATTACCCATGATAATTTTAATTACTACTTTAATCCATTTACGGTTTAGTCCCTGTTTGGATGGTTATTATTGAAAAAATTATTTTGAACATGATTTTTTAAAGAATGTTTAATTAAAAAATAGAGTAAAATATTTTATTTTTCTAATGCCCTGTTTGGGAGTGATTTTGATTTTTCTACAGTAAATCAATTCTCATTTTCAACCACACATTCTTCAATAAAATAATATTTTCCATCACATCAATAATTTTTTCTTCTTTTTCAACCACACGTTTCCCATCATATNTTTCTTCTTTTTCAACCATACATTTCCCATCATATCACTATTTAAAAATCAATTCTTTCCCCAAAAATCCATACTAAACAAACTCTAAAAGGGCTTAGTTCAGCTTCTTCGTTAAGGATCTCAAAGAAATCAAAATATAAAAACTTAATAGAGAGAGAAAGTAGGACCGTAATTCTGTTCTTATGCACTCTCCGATCGGCGGCTCTGTAGTATTCGGGTTTTACTCTCCGCCGGTGAGATCTTCGATCAGGTCAATAATTCTACGCACGCCTCATTCGACGCATTTTGTTCTTATAATTATCGTTTCACTTGGAAAATTTTTGGACTCTGGATTAAAATTAGATTTCGAAATTCTATTAATTGATTAGTTAGAGCTGTCAATCTTGATTTAAATAGTCTTTATCTTCTAATTTTTTTTTTGGTGATTTTTGGATATTTGAGATCGGAGTTCACTAATACAAACCTTTGCAGTTCAATTAGGCGCGAGTCCTGCCGCTGAATTGTATTATATTATTTGATTCCTCTTGCTCTGAGCTTGAATGTTAGCTTTTAATCAACATCCTTTAATGGTGAAACATAATTCAGACTTTTAATCCTATTCCAACCGGTTAGTGATAGAAAATTGTTATATTTATATTCTGCTTCAGTGAAACTGCCGAAATATCTGGGAATTATTTTTCGTCGGGCTGGGAGCTTCTCCACAAGCCCCAACGTCAGGGCATAAGCACCTTATTGCTACCCATATCCGAGGCCCTTTGCGTTTGTAGTATACAGCTGCCTAAATACTGAAAGAAACACCTGATGACCCTGTTGTATGATTGCATGAGAAAAGGGAGACATGAGATTCTAAAGACCTCTTCAACTATAGCGTTTATTAATTTGCCACTGAACTGCTTACACTATTCAATATATTGGTGCATGAAACTTCGAATTTTCACCTTGCATTATTTTGTCTGAGCTTCACGACTAGTTTACATTTAGCAGAATTGTGATTTGGTATCATGCTTATAGATCTGTTGTTTTATGCGTTGTGTGCGCTGCCTGACAGAAGCTAACGGATAAAGTGTGATATATGGGGACTGAAAATTCTAACCGTCCAAACTTCCCGTTTAGACCAGCTGTAACACCCTTTGCTACTCCTCGAAGTACAACTCCTTTTACATCATCTGGTTCAATAGTTGGATCAGAAGCCTCTGCCTTTAGGCCTGCCCCTCCCACTGCATCTCAATTTCCAACACCTCCCATCTCATCTGGGTCTTTGGTTGGATTAGAGCACCCTAGCTTTGGACCTCCGCTACCAGATAGGTCCAATGAACCAGTCAGGCCATCATCTTTACCACCATCATATGGCCTGCCAACAGCAGGACCTTTCCAGCGCTTCCAAACCCCACAGTTCCCCTCGGCAGTTCAAGTACCACCAGGTCCACCTCCGCTCACATCTCTTGTGGGCCAGCCAGTTGCACCCTCACCAAGTAGACCTCCTGGAGGTCCTATTTCATCTTCTCCTGTCTCTCTTCTTCCTCAATCCCAAATGCCTTCAATACCAATGGGATCTCCTCCTCAAAGCATGAAAGTTGGACAATCATACACAAATGTTTCTCCTCCATCTAAAGATTCAATCTTCTACCCGCACAGGCCACATCTTCAATCATCATTACCACCGCCACCTCCAATGGGGCCATCTTACATGGCTGCCGGAGGAAACTTCCAGCCAACTGTTCCAGGGCACCCTAATACACAATCAGATTCTGCTATTTATGCTCCACCTGTGCAGGCTGTCCCATTGTCTTCACAGCAAGGAGGCTATGGTCCTGCTGCATCACTGGCACCATTTTCCTCTCCACAAAGAGGTTATGTGCCGACTTCACCTGTTGTAACTCCAGCAGGGCTCTATTCTAGGGACCAGATGCAGCATACTGTCATTGCACCTCCAATGGGTGTTTCACAGGGTTTGGCTGAAGACTTTAGTTCACTCTCTCTTGGATCGGTACCAGGATCTTTTGATACAGGACTTGATCCTGAAACATTGCCCAGGCCATTGGCTGGTGATGTGGAGCCAAATTCTTTGGCTGCAATGTACCCCATGAATTGTAGTTCTCGATATATACGCCTCACAACATGTGGCATACCAAATTCTCAGTCCTTGGCATCAAGGTGGCATTTGCCTCTTGGAGCTGTTGTTTGTCCTCTTGCAGAAGCTCCTGATGGGGTTAGTTTCGATTTATTTAGAAGAGTTATTTTTTTATGACAAGTATATTATGATCTTTCTAAATCTAATATACTTTAATTGTGATCTCATCTTTGTCTAGGAAGAAGTTCCGATTGTTAATTTTGCTACAACTGGCATCATTCGTTGTAGAAGGTGCCGCACATATGTAAATCCATATGTCACATTTACTGATAGTGGAAGAAAGTGGAGGTGTAACATATGTTCATTGCTTAATGATGGTAACTTTCCTTTACCTTTGAGATTTTAAAAATATCATAAATGTGTGAGAACTTTTGCCTTTTTGCTTTTGTTGTTAATGTTGAATCATGTCATGAATCTTTTGGTTGGTGCATTTCTTATTTTTTTAACAATTCTCTTTATACCTTTACACTTTATTCAGTTAATTGGTGTGGCAGCCACAAAATTCTTCACTCACCACAGAAGGAAAAGGAAAAAAGGAAATAGCTTATTGACTCAATTTTTTACTACTCAAAGATTGGTACTCTTTTCCATGCATGGGGCTTGGTCATTTTAAATGAACTCTACTTTGGCTTCTTGTTCCCGTCTTTATGGCCTTTATAATTTCTATTATGACTCAATTTTTCGCTACTCAAAGATTGTTACTCTTTTCCATGCACAGGTCTTGGTCATTTTAAATGGACTCTACTTGGCTTCTCGTTCCTGTCGTTATGGCCTTTATGATTTTTGTTATCTCTTCTCGTACAATCATTTATAGCCTTAATCAATTATGGTGCGTTTGATTGTGAATATGGAATTTGCATGGAAATAGAATAATTCAATTACTTAGAACTTATTTGTATGGAAATTATTAATTAAATGTGTTCGATTGATTTAGTTTTCAACATATAATATATTATACTTTTATATTTTTTATTGGTGGGTAGATGATAGAGATTTGATAGATGAAAGAGAAAGAGAGAGTAAATTACCTGAAAAATAAAATCAACCCTCCCAAAGAAAATATTTTCCTTATTTTTGAGAAAAATATGGTCGCGTAGCCAAAAGTTAGGAAAATATTTTTCATGGAAAAAATTGCCAATCAGAACACCCCAAAAGTAAAAATTTAGGTGTAAAAATGACATTTTTGATAGAAAATAAAGTTAATCAAATACACTCTTAGTGATTCTAATTCTTGATATTTGGTCATGGACCTGCATATATGGTGTCGGGTAGTCGCTGAAAAGCACAATAAACTATGCCCATGCTTGTTTTGGATTAAAATCCAATTAAAATTTCAAGTCAATGTCAATAATTAATTTTAACCACATATTTCATGAGATCCAAAACTTTTCAACCTCACATTTCATGTACTTTTATCAAAATCTACTAAAAATCTAATTTTAATCTTTACCAAACAGGGGCTATGTATTTGACTCTCTCTCTCTCTCTCTCTCTCTCTCACACACACACACACAAAAGCAAACATAGACGCATCGAGACTTATATAGCTAGTCTGCCAACTTCCTTTGGTAAGGTAAAGATTCTAAGGCCCTGTTTGAGCCACCTTTTTGTAGAATGAGAATGAAAAATATAGTCGTTTTGGGGCCCACATAAGAGATAGAAATTTTGAATTTAAACGTTGATATGATGGATAACGGTCATATTTTTCATTTTAATGAGATAAAAAGGTAGCCCAAACGGGGGCTAAATAAGTTTATAGCTACATTGCATTGTTATGATCAAGATCAAACTATTCATTTGTAGACATTTTTTGTGATGAGCCTCAATGAACTGGCCTAATACCAAATGGGTCATTGTGTTAAAACTGCTAATAGAAATGGAGGAGAGGATCTCTAAAGTTCTATCTGGCTTCTAGCTGCCTGGTTACTTATTTTATATCTTTAGCAATTTTTTTAGTAGTTAAATTAGTTGATTATTTGAATTTATTCATTTGTATAGTTCTGAAGGTACATGAACTGATCTATTGCAAATTTCATTTCCAGTTCCTGGTGAATATTTCGCACATTTGGATGCCAGTGGCAGAAGAGTTGATTTGGATGAACGACCTGAGCTTACCAAGGGTAGTGTTGAGTTGATTGCTCCAGCTGAATACATGGTTCGGCCTCCAATGCCACCACTGTACTTTTTCCTCATTGACGTATCAATATCTGCAATTAAAAGTGGAATGCTTGAGGTAAACATTCCCCAACATAAGTTGACTGTGTTAAGGCAAGAGATTTCATTTTGGTATTCTCATGCACGAATTGATTGATGACACAGTTTGTCTGCAGCTCCTAATTGTCTGGAATGTATTTGTCGTTTTTTGTAACAAGATATTTTTGTACATCTGTATATTCATTTTTTATCCTTTCTTTTTCTTATATTTTCCATTATTTAATTTTCTCTGATTTTTTCATGAGGGGTATGCTGCTGCATCTTTGTTTTTGTTGCGTAGGTGTGCTTTAAACTGAATTGATGGATGGATTATCATTGATGATAACCAACCTTCGTTAATGTTTTTGAAATATTTCTGTTGTTTTCTAGTTTTTTATTGCTTTTTTCTTTAATGTTGATTGTTGAGTGTCTCTGCGTGACTAGAGTTGATGATGTGAACTTATTGGGATGCATGTTTTCTTTTATTTTATTTTTATTTTTTTAAGCTTGGTATTTCCATGGATAAATAAATTATCTTAGTTGATTACCATGTGAAAATAAACCATTTATCCATTTATGTTTTCTGCATAGCTTCATGATTGCTTAACCCCAAATATATTTTGCAGGTAGTAGCACAGACTATCAAGTCTTGTTTGGATAAATTGCCTGGTTTTCCCCGTACGCAGATTGGGTTCATAACTTATGACAGCACAATACATTTCTATAATATGAAGGTAAGGGGTCTCATGTAGGAGTTAATTTGTGGCATACATAAATTATCCCTTTCACTCCATTTCGGTGAATAACTTGTTCCATTTCCTTTTATCAGTCATCTTTAATGCAGCCTCAGATGATGGTCATCTCAGATTTGGATGACATATTTGTTCCATTGCCAGACGATCTTCTCGTCAACTTGTCAGAATCTAGAAATGTGGTGGATGCATTCCTTGATAGCTTTCCCTCCATGTTCCAGGATAACATGAATGTGGAATCTGCGTTTGGTCCAGCTCTTAAAGCTGCATTCATGGTTATGGTGTGTTGATTATTTTCTGTCCATTAATTTTAACTTCGATCAACAACTCTCTCTTGATGTTATTTGACCAGTATTCCACTATGGCATTTGTGTTTTGATTTCGATATTAGATACTTTTTGCTTTCCTGTTGTGTGATTGCCCTTGTTCTTTTAGAAAATTGTTTTCCATCTATTAACTTAGTACTAACTCGAATATGCTTCCTACTTCCAGGGGCAACTTGGTGGTAAGTTGTTGATTTTCCAGAATACATTGCCATCACTGGGTGCTGGCCGTCTACGACTGCGAGATGATGCTCGCATCTATGGAACAGATAGAGAGCATACACTAAGAATACCAGAAGATCCGTTTTATAAACAGATGGCTGCTGATTTCACAAAGTATCAGGTTGCGGTGAATGTATATGTATTTAGTGACAAGTACACCGATATAGCATCCTTAGGTATGTGTCAACAGTTTGCTTACTGAGTTTATATTATTTGAACTAACTAACTTGAAACAATTATGTTGATGCCTTAATATCGTAGTAATTGATTTGATGTTCCTTTTTATTCTACTAGTCAAAGTTGAAAATGCGTTGCACGTCATTATGAAATACTTTAAAGTGTTGTAAAAGTAATATTTGAATATGCGTGAATGATAATTAATTTAGAATTAATACTAGAGAATATCTACGTGATGATGAATGATGAATCATTTATTTAATTTCCAATTAAGTAAAATTGGATGTTAATTAACATACATGGATGTGAATAATGAAATGCATTATTGAATGTGAAATTTTAATTAACTTATAATTAGAATTAATGACGCCGAAATACATAAATGAAGATGAATTTTAATTAATTGAAAATTAATAATAGAAAATTCATACATTAATGAAAGCACACGAATGAAATGAATCTATCAAATGTATATGTACATTAATGGTAACTAAATGGTAAATCAATTAAATACATATTGAAAAACGAAAAATAAGGCATTATTGAAATAATTAAATTATGGTATGGCTAAAATCGTTCAAAAAATTATTCTCACTTGATGTGATATTTAATTTCAATTAAGTAAAATTGAATGTTAATTCTCATTAATTTCAATTAAGTAAAATTGAATGTTAATTCGCATACATTTACTTGAATAATGAAATGCATTCTTGAATGTGAAATTTTAACTAACTTATAATTAGAATTAATAATAATGAAATGCATAAATGAAGATGAATATTAATTAAATGAATGTGAATGTTAATTAATTGATAATTAATATAGGAAATTCATACATTAATGAAAGTATACAGGTGTAATGAATTGTCAAATGTACATGTATATTGATGATGACTAAATGGTTAAATAAATTAAATACATTTTGGAAAAAAAGTAAGGTATTATTGAAATAATTGAATTATAGTAGAGATAAAATCGTCTAAAAAATTATTCTCACTTAATATGATATTTAATATATTATAGATAAATGTGCTCTGATGATTGATCGTTGGTTCTCTTTGGGTATCTTCTCAATTATGTTCTGCATTTGTATTACCACCATCTGATAAAAATGCAAGTTCTCAATTTACGATCTCCATCTGTTGCACTGTCCTATTGTCATGAATCTGAATGATTGAATCATTTTTTGGTTCAAAAGTCAAAACTAATGTGTTGGATGCTAATTGCATATGAGGAATAAATACCAATGCTAAATGTTTCTCAATCGTGTTACTTACTGATGTAGCATTTCTCAACACTATAATTCTGAATAAATAGTCCATATGAACAAAAATGTGGAGCTAGAGAGTTGAGGTAGCGTATTATGAGCACATATATATGGTGATATTCTTCGGAGAATAAATGAAAATCTTAGACGTTGATTTGGAATTTGTATAGACCTGATAAGTTGGTTGGAGCTCATCTCCAAGAACAAAAGAAGACATCTCAGTTATAGGCAAACTCTAAGATCCTGTTTGAATCTCGTTAAAATTTTGATGAGGTTTCTCATTATGTAACAGTAAAATAATTGTTCAAAAACTGAGATGCACAGAAGTTCAGGCACTTTAATTTGACAGAACACGTTGAAACGCATTTGGACGAAAACACCCTCATTATTCAAAATCAATTTACAGAAATAACCCTCCCAAATGCAACCAACATGAACATTGTAGAACCATTTAATGGAAGGGTAAATTGGGAAAGTGAAAGTTCGTACCTCCATCATGTGTCCAAAAGTCAACAATGAAATGTGTTTTTCTCACCCCAACCGACAAATGCATTGAATGTTGTCCCCCGGTGGCAGAGAATGAAATTGGCCAATTCTAATTTTAATTGGTCTCAAACAGACACTAAATGAAAGAAAATGCATAAAAATACCTACAGTTTGAGCAAATAAAATCAGATCTTAAACTCTTGAGATAAAATCTTAGAGAACCTCACAACTGCTCTTTATTGACGCCTCTAAATGTTAAGAAAAAGATCAAAAATCATAACGAGAGTCAACCTGCTATAGATCAGTTCATAATCATTTATTCTATACCGGGATATGTAGTGACGCTTTAACATCTGCACCTTTTACATTTCTTTTGACTTATGCCGTAAAATTAGAAAAGGATCCAATAAACACTAAAAAAATTATCAGAAGCTTATTACATCTGTACAAATTTCAACCCATAGATAATTGTTGCTAGGATGCCAGTCTAATTTGTTGACTATAGTCGTAGAAACCTTTATCTACTGTCTGCAGATGTTGTCCAATAAATGGAACAGAGTCTTCATGTATGAATATGATATACCACGAACATATTTAGATGGTACCAGATGGTTATAACAAGCTAGATCTGTATCTTATTCAAATCTTCCTATCAGGTTGCTAAAAACGTCATCTGTCACCAGTTTTAGATTGAACTTTTCTAATTACCACCTTGCTGTCGCACAAAATGACTAATTTGGTGAGATTGGGTTTTTGCTCGATAAGTATTGACATCGAAAATTATCATCTTGAATGCTATGTGTAGGGACACTGGCAAAATATACAGGGGGTCAGGTTTATTATTATCCTAGTTTCCAATCTGCCATTCACAAAGATAAGTTGAGACACGAGTTAACCAGAGATCTTACTAGAGAAACTGCATGGGAATCTGTCATGCGCATAAGATGTGGAAAGGGTAAATTCCCTATACTCCAGCTTGCACTCTTCACTAGTCATTGATTCTACTTCCACTGTAAACTTCAAAATGGTCTTGTTGGGTTATATGCTGAAATTAAGAGCTAATATGTCTTTTGCTGCCTGTAGGTGTGCGTTTCACATCTTATCATGGGAATTTTATGCTAAGATCAACTGACTTATTAGCACTTCCTGCTGTTGACTGTGATAAAGCTTATGCAACACAGTTATCTCTTGAAGAAACACTTCTGACAATGCAGACTGTGTACTTCCAAGTTGCTTTACTGTATCCTTTTGCAAAGAATTTAACTGTAAATCAGTTTGCATGAACATGTGTGCTTCAATTACACAGGTTGATTAGTGTCGATTGTGTACATACTCTTGCTTCTAAAGCTATAACTCAAATGGCTTTCTTTTGGGTCCTTTTTCTCACGGGATGCTCACTTTTAACAGGTCTGCTTGTTTTGGCATTTAAAATGTTTCTTGCTTCAGTTCATTGTTGCCTGTTGTGAAGACGTCTCTTTCACCTTCTTTTGATTTTCTTCTAGTATATCATAAGCCCTTTAAGGTTCTCACCTATTCAATATAGTTTCTGGATCCTAGAAAAAGATCTATTCCTATTGTATAGGTTTGAGCGACTTCGTTTCTTTTGATCCTCTGGCAACTTAATTGGAATGGATAAAGAATTAAATTCCTTATCATTGGAAAGATATACATCATCTTCTGGAGAAAGGCGTATCAGGGTACACACGGCAGCAGCTCCCGTTGTTACCAATCTTGGAGAGATGTATCGCCTAGCTGACACTGGGGCCATTGTTTCTTTATTTTCCAGGCTAGGTAGAGAAATCATTTCTCTGACAGCTAGGGTGTGTGTGTGTGTGTAATTGTGAGCATTTGTTCTTGCATTAATTTAAAAATTAAACTTCAGATTATTTTTTATTATATCAAACACAAATTGATCCGCAGCGATTGAGAAAACTCTGTCCCACAAACTGGAAGAGGCTCGGAATGCTATTCAACTTAGGATTGTCAAAGCCCTTAGAGAATATCGAAATCTTTATGCCGTTCAGCATCGCTTGGCTGGAAGAATGATATACCCAGAATCACTGAAATTCTTACCCTTGTATGGATTGGCGTTATGTAAGTCTACAGCCCTTCGTGGTGGATATGCTGATGCTTTGCTTGATGACCGTTGTGCTGCTGGGTATACCATGATGGCTTTACCTGTTAAAAAATTGCTGAAACTTCTCTATCCTCACCTGGTTCGCATAGATGACTACCTTATCAAAGTAAGTTGAAAAATTGCATTTCAAGTTTCTATATTGACAATCGAAAAAATATGAATCTCTGAAGATGTATTCTTCACCATATCCAGACATCCCAGATTGATGAATTTGGCATCGTTTCAAAGAGGTTACGGCTTACTGCAGAGAGCTTAGATACCAGGGGCCTTTATATTTATGATGATGGCTTTAGGTTTATCATATGGTTTGGGAGATCACTTTCACCTGATATATCAAGGAATTTACTTGGAGAAGATTTTGCTGCGAACTTTTCCAAGGTTGCTTCTTTTATAATCTTAATCTACAGTTACACGCATTAGTCTTGTATATATGAATGCTTCTTTTCTCTGTACGAACATATGTAGTCTTTCATTACTTTTATCATTTCAATGTCTTGGTTCTTGAAATTCGAGAGTTGTTGTCTGATGTGATATCTAAATGGAGTGTACTAACTAGAGGTGAACAAATGCATGGACATCTATGCATGCTTATTGAGTCTGTTCTCTCTTTTTTTGTCAAAACTGGAACATTGTACTCATTTTTTGGAAAGTTTATTTTTTGACTGAGTCCTATTGTTGGAAGTTGGAACACTATCAAAATAATTGTGAAAACCTTACTCAAATAATTTATGTATTTCACTTATTCTTTGAGTTGGTCTTCTCTGGAGTCCATCTTTTTTTATCACAGCTCCTTGAATGCGAGTCTCCTTTTCTTGTATGCATTAAATTTCAGCTTTTGATTTCTGCTCTTGCAAGGTTGGGATTCGTTTGGAAAGTTTTAAGCTGAGATGGTACTGGAAGGTTTCTCATTTTTAACCTCATCTGATGTGACTTTTTCGGGTGAATTTTCAAATTGACTACCGAGGATTAAACCAGGGATTTATTTTTTTGGAAAGTATAATTATGCCGTGTTGGCCAACTTTCTTCCCGTGTTAATTCTTTAGCCCTCATCAAATAAGTAACTAGTGAAGCAGCTTATTTATGTGTCAATCAGCTGTATGTAAAGCTTGTTTTGATGTTACCACTTTTTCGTTGAAAGAGAATCTCTGTGTGTATGTATGTGTGAGTCAGGAGTGTGTGTATCATTAGCTGTATATATCTATTTCATAAATAAGGCCGTGTTCAGAATGAAATCTAATGTAGTAACAAAAACCTTATATTTATCGCCCACCCCCAACCACAAAAACAGAAAAAAGAGGGGACTTACACAAGACACATGATAAAAATTTACTCTGGCTGTTTTCAATCTTCTTTAGCTGTTACATATCTATGTTAAAACATATTTTTACACTCTTTCTGCATTTCCTGTCGTGTCTCCATTCACTGATGCATTTTTTATGTCTCGTTTCTGAGAATCAGGTTAACCTGTCTGTGCAAGACAATGAAATGTCGAGAAAGCTAATGAGGATACTTGAAAAATTTCGGGCGACTGATCCATCATATTATCAATTTTGTCATCTTGTGAGGCAAGGTGAACAGCCCAGAGAAAGTTTCTTCCTACTTTCAAATTTAGTCGAGGACCAGATTGGTGGCACAAATGGCTATGCTGATTGGATTCTGCAACTACACAGACAAGTCCAGCAGAATGCATAATTTACAGGTAATTATTTTATTGCTCATTATCTTCATTGACTTGAATTTTGCTTGCTTCTGTCTCAAAAACCTGGACCTCCTGTTTCCGTTCTGGAGGCTGTCTGGGGGTGGGGTATGTATCATTTCGAAACTTTGTTGCATATATAGGCTTATATTCACCTCATAGATTGGGATGGTTAGGTTAGGTAGCAAATTACTATCATATAAATGGAATAATCGCTTGACATTTCTGTTTATTTGACAACTATCATATGCTAGTTTTGGAGTTTGTATGGTTTCAAAATTTATATTAAAGTTTGGGTCAAATTTTGAATTATGCTGTAGTTGAAAACTTTTTTTATTATATTTAGAATCTTTATGTTCATCATGATTTCACTGTGTACATTACGGGACAATGTTAGACATGAGAAAGACAACTGTAGGAATATTTATTGTGAACTGTTATAAACAGGAAAAGTAAACTGAGATTGACATGAATATTTATACATTAAAAGTTCCGGAAAAACAATAGATTAGTATTAGAACTACGATGCAAGGGCCACTCATTTAGAACTATGGTGCAGTGGCAAGTTGCATCCTGTGTTTATCACCTATGTGTTCAAAACCAGACCAGACGAGACCAGCCAGTTCAACCAGAAAAACAGAGAACTGGTCCTGTCATTTCCTTAAACCAAAGTTCAGAACCGGGGAAAAACCAGTCAAGAAACGGGTTCAACCTCGAACCCCGTTGACCGGCTACCAGTTTTACTGGTTTTGCTTGGTGGAATTTCTTAAAGAAAAAACAAAAAAAATTCAAGGACTTAGAGGGGATAAAGCTCTAAAAGCCAATAAAGGTTTGCTACCAGCGTAGGCCCACAAAGAAAACGAATCACTTCACCTACTGGCCCATTATTTTATATTCAGTTTTCTCCACATTTTCCTTGGTTAAAGCTGATGTGAGATCTTGAAACTGATTAGAAGAAAGAAGTGGTTTAAACACTAAGAAAATAATATCAGGTCACTGTTTGGTTAACCGTTAAAAATAATGCACTATTATAATTAAAATATTTTATTGAAAAAGTTTGGAAGAAAATCTAAAGTCCAAAATAAATTGTTCTTGAATTTAATTTCAATTTATTTTATCTTTTTCATTTAAGCGCATGTTTGATAAAGATTCCCCGAGAATTGATTATTTGAAAAAGTCAAATGTGTTGTTAAAAAGTATGAAAAAGTTGGGGGGAAACGTGAAAAATGATTTATTTATTTATTTTGAAGAACATGTGGTTGAAAATAAATCGATTTGAAGACCAAACTCGGACCACAGAACAACTTAGAGAATTCTTTTATCTGGCTTTGTATAGTTGATTCAATGCCGCAACGAGTAGTCCTATAGAGGGACTGCCTAATTTCATGTCTTTTCTTTCTTGTTTAAGTTGATAATACACTTCCTGTGTATTCTTTTTTTATTAATAAAATTATTTGATTACCTATAAAAAAAAAGAAAATTCTTTCTTGTTTAAGTTGATAATACACTTCCTGTGTATTCTTCTTTGTTAATAAAATTATTTGATTACCTATAAAAAAAAAGAAAATAAGCATATATTCCCCCCCACCCCCACCCCCACCAAATTTTTCAAAAACTCATTTTTTTAAAACCCATTTTAAACCACACATTCTTCCATAAAATAATTTTACATAAATAAAAAAAATTTCCTTATTTTTTAACCACACATTCTCCAAAAAATCATTATTCCAAAATACATTATCTTACAAAAATGCGGCTCAAACAACTTAAGTGTGGAAGAGAAGTGATTTTTATAGAATCAAATCAAACAAGTTCCAATTTTACATTAATAACACACTAAAATGCTAAAAAAGTTAAGCAGCCAATTGAGGTGTCTATAACTATTGTCTCATTTTGTATTGATATTGGAAGTGACATAAGAAAATTAAAACCAACCGGAGATTCTGTTATGCTAATAGAGTAGATTGTTTTCGAAGTAATTGAGGTAAGTAATGGTTCAGCCATGTCCGTTGATCTGACTTTTGACATTTTACTTATCTGTTCGTAATACAACTATGGTACATCTATTTTATATTTAATTTTCGACTCAAACCAAGTCGGCTTTCCGATAACAAGTTGGATGTTGAACCTAGAGCGTAATATTAATGAACATTGAATTACATTTTTTGATGTGCAAGTTTTCAGTCCATGAAATTGTGTCTCATGAACTGTACCAATAATATGTGAATTCACCTTGCCGCAGGGAGTATGTTTGGCTTGTTACAAATCACGATCTAGCTGACAGGCAATCTATGTTCCAACTTAGTGAAATTGTTGAACACATCGGCTCCTCAAGTACCAGATGCTATATGCTTCGTGGATTCAAAGTATTTTTATTGATGATGTGACTCCCAATTTCTTCCTGTATGGCATATTGGCAAACTGCTCGATTGAGGTGCATCTCCTAATGTTTACTGGCATCACGATATGTCCAGATCTTTCGTGAATCACTGGATTCCAAGTAGAAGACGTTCAGAGAGGAAGACTCTTTCAAGGACTCTTAGCAATGATTTAGCACCTGTGTGAAGATGATAATGAGATCAGCTTTAAAATCGTTAAAAAAAAAAAATAGTCTCTCTCTCTCTCTCTCTCATTTGCAGGAATAATTTTGGGTTTATTATGATTAATCGGTGTGTGTGTGTGTGTTTGGGTAAGGTAACACTTTTTAGTTTGATTTTGGGGTTTCTGTATTTAGATTTAGATACCTAACAAGATTTTGACCAAATTAGCTATATTATCCATTTTATTGGCATCCTAGTGAAAACTCAACTGGAGCATCATAATTCTCACTACTAGTAGGGGATGGGGAGATACATGGGGGTTAAGGCAAAAGGGGATGCAGAGGAAGAAGACGACGACGCTAAGAAGATTTTTCTGAAATATCTAATCACTCTATTATTATTTAATCTTGATAATTTGAGATAAGGTAATTTGACAATCAATGGTTTTCATGCAATTCCTCCAAATCATTTCAAAGAGAGTAAAAAGATGAATTCTTCTTCAACTGTTTATATATCACTTGTATCAATTTGAGGCATTGAAATTAGTTTGTGTATCCTTCAGCCTTTCTTGGTGGAGCTTGAAAATCAATTGAAATTTTGTTGTTTTGCTTTAAATAAAAGCAAAGAAAATAAATTAATTCGAGAGTTCTTTGTATATTCTACCAAGTTGTATTGCAAAATCAATTAGATACTTTTTGTTCCCTATAATTAACCATTACATTTATAGAAAGAGTTCTTGGACTGTTTTTTGCTTAATTGCGTTTTGGTTCACTGACAAAGGGATGCCGATAATAAACTTCATTGATGGTCGACTACATGAATATGTTTTTCTCGTTCAATTTATTTTAGTTTACAGTGTTTTATAAGATGAATCCTATGAGATTTGAATATTATTATCAATTAATTTGCCTTGATGCTTTATAAAATGAATTTCCACGAGATTCAAATTTATCAATAAAATATATATTTCATGATTAGGAACATAGTCAAAAAAATTAAATAAATTCAAAAAAATATTAATTTACATAATAAGTTAACAATTTAATTTGCCAAAAAAAAGAAAAAAAATTGTGTCAATGAACAATTTTTTATAAACAGAAAATTAAATATTAATAGGAAAATTTGTCTGGAACAAGAACAACCTATTTGTTAGTATCTTATAATAAAATAAAAAATATGAAAGATAAAAAATTATTGAGCAACATTTATAGGCTAGCTTCCCCTCAGTAATTGAAGCACTATCGGTGACATTGTCATTGATAATCGCCGACAAAGTTGTGTCCATAATCACCAATAATATTGTTGTTGATAATTTATTTTTAATAATCAACGTATATTGATTTCAATAAGAATCACTAACAATAATATCATCGCCAATCATAGATTGTATCTTGTCGGTGATTGAAGTATCCATAATGATCCCTAAAAATTGATGACATCGCCGTCAGTAATCAATGACGAATATATATCGGTGATAGCTAACAATATGGCTCTCGATAACTTTTAGTATCACTAGTTTCATATCATCGACGTAATTTCCATCATTAATTATTTGTTTAATTAAATTCTTTATTGTTATTTTTGAAAAGACTTCCTTGACAATTTTTCCTAATGCCTCTAAACTGCTTGAGCTGTCTTTGAACACCAAACAACTAGTTAAAAATTTGTCAAGTGAACTATCTTTTGTATGAAGAAATGCTCATAATTTGAAGGTGTGCACGAACAATTGAATCCAATCGAAGCATTATATATATATATAATAAAGAAGGCACATCTCCCATTACACATGAAGTTCAAATCACATAGATCATTGGAGTTCAGAACAAAGCCAGTGGCGTGGGGGAATTTCTGCAATGGAAAGATTGAATATTTAATGAATAATGAGATAGATGAATCATAAATCCATTGTCGTCCAGCGGTTAGGATATCTGGCTTTCACCCAGGGGACCCGGGTTCGATTCCCGGCAATGGAATCTTTTTTTTATCTTTCTTTACTTTTTATCATTTTTTACTTTTAAGAATTTTATCTGTACACCTACCTTGTTATGAGCTTGACAAGAATTTATTTTTTGCTTATTTAAACTTTATACAGAGGACAAAAAGTGTAAGTTGAAATTTTAATTTTAGCCCCCCGTTTGGGCCACCTTTTTATCTCATTAAAATGAAAAATATGACCGTTATCCATCATATCAACATTTAAATTCAAATTTTCTATCTTTTGTGTGGACC